GCTACACACGTCAATGGTATTCTTGTTTTTAGCATTGTTATTAATATTATTATCCAATCATAAGGGGATATGCCTCTTCAATTCACGTCATGAAGGCAACAAATATATAAATTAAATTAGATTATAATCAAAGGAGGAATAAAAAAAATCACGTAGAAAGCAGAAAACATAGTAATAATAGTGTGGGAAAAAGTGGAGAAAATAGTACAACATATACTCATGCTTGTTATCTTTTGAGTTACTATTTTAATTCACTCAGTCTTGTACCCTTATCTTTTTTTGGGTTTACAAAAATAATATCTATATCTTCGTATGCTACTAATCTAATCTCTGCGTTGGGATTCCTATCACTAGCAAATAGATACCCTACATATACATATGTCTGTAAAAGAGCTAATAATTTTTTGTATAAAATCCAGAGATTATTCTTTTCAACCACGATTGCTCAAACTGCGTCACGTTTTCCCTTCTGAATTCATTTTAAAAAGATCATAAAGAATGACGAAAGGTAAACATTATCGACACGGATTATGTGCGGGGGAAAAGTAGGAGGAGAACAGCAACAACCTTTACATTGAGTTAGATTTATTATATTTGATGTATATGCATGTCCATAATGTTTTTTTGGCCAGCCTACTACATTTTATACCTCTGTGATCACATTATGAGTGTTTCTATTTGATAATATATATATACATATTTATCTATCGTTATTTTCATGCTGAATCACACTATCCCATGTTTTAGTTAAAAGAAAAGCGGAGGGAGAGATCGATGAATCCGAAGGATTGGTTTTATTCGTTATACATCTGCTCACGTGTTATCATTACAGGAAAGATTGAGAAGGGTGGGGTAGAGGGGGGAGAAGTGCAACTAATATAATTCCTTCAACTTAATGTGAGACCTCAAATCGAATTGCCAGCATAAACGATGTCCGCTTAAGTTTCAAGCTTCTTAAGATGCCAATTCACTATAGTACTGGCTGTACACGATTGAGAAAACCATCATTCCTTTTTCTTCCCCTCCCCCCCCCACCACAACAAACAAAAC